GGGAGGGGTGAATTGGGACTTGAAGACGGCTTCGGAGGTTGTTCCCGGTAGAAAGGGCCCAGTGGTGGGTTTGACTCTTGGTCTGCTTATCCCTTTTTGCTGACAGCTGCTGCTGGATACCTTGTTCTGTTTGTAACTAGATATTGCATTTCATAAGCAAATGCTCCGGGTATGTCATGGGTAAATTTAATGTAAAGCATTCTTGCTTGCCTGTTAAGAAGTGTACACCTAATACAGCGTGTGCTAACTGTAGTTCTAGGAACCCTGCCTTTGCTCTGTAAACTGTCTGGCAACTACTGCTAAGGTCAGGATTGTTTCTTCTTGATTATCCAGGGCCTGCATCTGCTTTGGAGAGACCTTGCTAGTTTAATTTCACTCCCCTTGATCTGGTCACTATAACCTTCAAGGGTTTTCCTCGAAGCTCAGTATTGAGTTATGTGACTGCATAGCTTTACTGTGAAATCAACACATGTGCCTGGCGTTCCAAGAGTGGCTCCTGCTCCCACTGCCTTCCTCTCCTGCTGCCTGAGTTTGCCACAGCTGGGTGCACTTTTGCATGGGGATAAGAGGGTTTCTCTCTTACCTGATGGGCTGGATGGAGCGTGTCACTGGGCTGGCAGTGTCTGGTTCTCTCTGTGGAGGGTTTTCTTTCCCATGGTTTGATACTTTTCCATCCCTAGTTGCCTGTGTCAAGAACAGGCTGAATAGTTTTTCCAGACCTCTCTGCAGGGAGCCCCCCTCTGCCCTCACCACAGGGTTTGCTTTCTGCCCGTGGAAGATGGGGTTTCATTCCATTTGAGTGAAGCAGCTGCAGCAGGAGGGTGTGATCAAACTCACCACTAGTATAAACACAGATAAAGCTTGGCTGTCTACTCTACTGCTTATTATCCATATAACCCTGTCAAATATAAACCAAGTGTTTTGGGCTTGGGAGCCAGGCCTGCCCACACAAAAGTACTTCCTGTACGCAGAGCCTATGTTCTGGTAACATTCATGATCTGACAAGGAGCTGAAAGCAGCTCTCACTCCCTAATCAGAGTCCCTGATTAACCTGCTGTCCTTGGTTAGGCCTCAGCATTGTAGGGAGCCTCAGAGGAGGGCATGCGAGTTAATGATGCCACAGCCACCAGTGAAAAGGGGTGAAGCTGAGAGCAACAGTTTGACTCTTTTAATTGAGTGGCTGTCCCTAATTTTGCTCGATTCCAGGCCCGGTTTGTGTAAATTTTGTAGCCAGCTGCTGGGGTAGACCCTGGTTAGGGTTGGGGGAGACCTAAGTTGTCTGTTCAGCTCTGGCACTGGCTTTGTGGGGGGTCTTGAGTGGTCTTGATTTGTCTCACTTGTAAAGCAACACCAATGATATTTGCTTTTTTTCCTTGCTGGATAACTTTAGACATGGGCATTCCGAGTGTTGGGTGGGAGCTAGACAGACGGACGTTTCTTTGCTTGCCGTCTCCTGTGCATGCCGTGCTAGTGATACAGGGAACATAAGCTTCTCTTTGCACTTGAGAAAGCTGACAGCTGGCACTGCTTCATCTTTCCTTTTAGGGACAAGAATCATTTACGACCGTAAGTTCTTGATGGAGTGCCGCAATTCCCCAGTTGCCAAGACGCCACCATGCGACCTTCCAGACATTCCAGGTGTGACAAGTCCTAACGTGGAAGAGCTGAAGATAGAAAACAATCATGTGCACAACTACGAGGAGAAAGTGGGTGCAGGTGAGCGGTGTCTGATAGCCAAATAAACTAGAAAATTAAACGAGCAGAGAAATGAGGTGGGTGGACAACTGGCTTAGAGGCCACTCCCAGAGAGTGGTGATCACAAAGATGGCTGCATCTGGACGGCTGTCTCCAGTGGTGTCCTCCATGGATCAGTGCTTGGACCCATGCTGTTCAATATATTCATTAATGACTTGGGTGATGGGGTGGAAAGCGCAGTAATTAAGTTTGCAGATGATACCAAGCTGTGGGGAAATGCGGGCACACCAGAGGACAGGGTAAAGATCCAGGATGACTTTGACAGGCTGGATTTATGGGTGGAACAAAATCGGATGAGGTTTAACAGGGAGAAGTGTTGGAGGTGTTCAGGATGAGGCTGGACAGGCACCTTGACAAACTCATCTGAACCCTTATGACTTTCTTCCCACGGCAGGGGACCAGACTTGATGATCTTACAGGTCCCTTCCGGTTCTATGATTATATGGGCTAAAGCTAGTGAATTCAGAGAAGTGAGAGAAATTAGTGCTTTGAACTGACTGTGGATACGGGCAAAACCAGGATGGCACTGGGGTTTCCCAGTTGTTTGCTCAGTATGATTCATATCTGCCACACAGTTTGTTCCATAGTTACTGAGCTCAGGTGGAATTGCAGTTAGGAGTTGAAAGGGGCTTGAGTTTGTGGCTTGTTCATTTTCTGGCCTCAGCATTGAGATGTGCAACATCCAGGGCTAAGGTCTGCCAGTGACACTGCCAGGATTTGTGGTGTCTGCTGAAATAAGACCGAGTTTGCCCAGCTGGGTTCATACCAGACATTGAGCCATCAGCTTTCCGATCATAAGGACTTATGAACTAAGTTCTTGTAGCTGGTATTTAGTGCACGCAATCCAGCTTCCTCTTCCGTCACTCTTGGGTTCTGTTGAGCTGCCTGTTGTAAAAAGCTTGTGGTTGCAAGTCAGCTGAGCACAAAGCAAATGAGGTGGCAGCCTGCAGTTACGGGGTGGTGGCCAGGGTTATCTTTCTAACTGCATTACAGAGTGAAAATGAATCTTGCACATGGATTTAAAAAGCCTTTGTTGTGTGAGGTCTTCAGCAAACAGCTTGAAACCGCTGGCTTCCATTCATTTATTTATTTTTATTTTTTTACTAAGCAAAATCTTTTACCAAGGGACAATATTGCTTCGTGGTTTTAGTACATGCTGATGTGATGTTTTCTGTTTAATAGTTGACTAAATTCCTTGTGTCAGACCGCAGTGCCAAATGCCTGCTGACTGCCAACTTGACTGACCTTTTCTTCCCTTGCCCCTATCCTTAGCAATAGGTCATCTGAGCAGTGGGATCATTGCTTACGTTGGCCTTGAATCAATTGCACTGGCTCCAAAAGCAGTCATGGACTCAGTAGCTGCGCTGCACCATGACAACTGGAAACAGCACTTGCTTTCTCTGAGAACAAAAATTTCTACCAGAGGCTAAATGTGCCAGCCTTTTTTTCTCTCCCTTTTTGTTTAAGAAAAGGGTGCCAAGTAAGTGGCTGAATTTGCGAGTCTGATCTGCAAGGTATAGCTCATCTCTGCTCTATTCTTGCTAAGTGAATACAGATCACCTGTGTTCTTTGCTCTGACCTATTTGGGTGATGTACAGGGAGGTGAATCTTTTTCCCCTAGGGACACAGCAAGCAGCCTTCTCTCGTCATGTGACTGATCTCAGGTTCAATCCTTGAACAGGACACACTGTTTTTCTTTTTTTTAAATTTGAAACGTCTGTGCTCCTGCCAGGCTGCCTCTCTGAGAATCCCTTCAGTGTGATGCTTGGCACTTAACAGGATCTCAGCATTCACTCATATTTTCCTGTTGTTCCTAACAGGTGAGGAAGCTCAGTTTGACATGGACATCTAACACACGTGCCCTGCGAATGTTACTGGTGAAGAACAAAACCTCAAAGC